ACTCCAAACTTTAGGACAGAGCCAAGGGCAATGTCCTTTTCACAGATAAGCAAAATAATTCTTTTGACTCATTATTATTCCTTAGTATTACAGCATTCTATGGAATCAATAGTTACTTGGCATCTATTAAATAATAAATAATATATGGTTTCTACTACTAAGGAGACATCTATGCAATCGTTATCAGTTACCATGTAGCCAGAATGGAATAAAGGCTATACCAGAGGTAAAACAAATGGACTTTGGAATTAAATAATTGTAATGGGGGGTTGGAGAAGGCCCCTTGGAAGAAGCAGCCATTGGGCAAACCCAACAAGATATGTAGGATTTCTTCAGGGGGATTGGAGGGAAAAAGCATCCCAGGGATTACAGGTGATGGCCACTTGGCTTGGAGATGAAGCATTCTTGAACTTACACCTATACGTGGAAATGACACCAAGAAAAACACCACTCAATCCTGTCAATTCAGAAGGAAAAAACCCCAGTTGAACCAATAGTTTGGCAAGAGAAAGACAAAATAACCAGCTGAATCACCAAATTTTGTTCTATTTTTCAAGTTATTGCATTGATATTATGCACGTCCAGGCATAGTTTACCTCAAAGGCGCTATTGTTCTGAGGAGCAGGAGATTTCCCTTTGCAGAAATAGTACAAATACGTTTCTGTTTGTTTGTGTGGGCAGCTCAGGATATGCTAAAGAAGCAATCCAATGTAGAGAAATTGCCATTCGGAGATGTGATACGGCTCATTTTTAACTGTTTTCAGCAAGGTAGATGGAGAAGTGCTGGATTGTCTTTGCTAGCAGGGCGCACATCGGAGGGTCAATAATATCGCTGTTTCCCTGAACAGACGCTGAAAGCCCCGCATCGTTCAGAGCTCTTAATCTTTTCCAACTGAGCAAAATGTTCATCATGAACTTTTAAATGTAGTGACACCTCATGTGTCCAATCTGCTGAAATTTGCGGCAGGAAACCAGTAATGGGGAAAGCCGTGAAGGTTTGCAGTGATTAAATGCTGCCAAGAGTCCACATTTTCTTCAGAAACGTAAAGACGGTTGACTTGTCAATTGACGATCTGATACGATGGGGGTACCTTTTGTAATACATGATTATATCTGGATCATGTGGATGGAGAAATCAAAGTTAGGGCTTGGACCTGTGATGTTTCCAGTGGCAAACTGGATTACAAGATATTTTTTTTCAAATTACTGATTCAAATCCATACAATTGTAATCACTACCTCGCAATATATGACCTATTTTAGAATTCTTGACAAAAAGTATGATAAAGTCTAATACCATTTGCTAATGTGATGGACAAGGCCTTTCATTTCTGTCATGCCCCTGACCCTTAAGAACCCTAACATACTCTCCCTCTCTGTGTGATATTTTCCTTGTTCTACATGGGGACTGAGGTAAATGAGTGATTATGGTGCTTGCTCACTGGTAATATTTCTAGAAGGAAAAGCCAGTTCCTGCAACCAACATTTATTAAGCATCTACTCTGAGAATATAGTTGGAGAAAGGAATAAAGCCCCTTCCTTCATTAGGGGGGATTGGAGAGACATGGTCAGACCTGGTGAAGGAAGTCGGTAGGTGCAGGGATCTATTTATACCTAGAACCATGAAGACATGCAGTAGGAGTGAGGAGACCAGGGGTCAGGGAAGGATTTCTGAGACTGATGTCCATGCTGAGCCCCGGGCTCTTGGTTCTAAACTGTTGAATCCCGAGGGCCTGGAGAGCTTTTCATTAATAAACAGTTGTTAAACGAGTACATACATGAAACTGCTTTGTCAAGATGTGGATTATTGATATAATGAGCATACCTTTGGCCACAGACTTGCATCTCAATCTACTCTCCCTGACTTTCATCTTCAACTTGACCTGTGCTCAGCCCAGCCTGCTTCTTGCCTCTCTTCCCTCCTCCTTACACGTTCCTCTTTCCACTATGCCTTGGCATGTTCACTAAGCTCCCCGTCGCCTGCTCCTGGTTTGACCCAGCGTTCACCTAAACCACAGCTGGGGTCATCCCCACTGACCTACCTCTTGGGAAAGGTCACAGAAAAAGACAGGTGATATGATCCAGCCACAATCAGCAGCATAGTTTTATTTATTAATAGTTCAGTCAATTTATCATGGTAGAGATTGTTTCAAGTTTTGCAAAATGCTTTTGATCCCCCTTGACGTCTGTAAGATAGACCTAACTGTACGTGCTATTTCCATTTTAAAGCTCAAAAAAACCAAGTCTTAAAGCAAAAAGAACCAAAACCAAAGCCAGTGGAATAGCAACAAATAAGATCTGGGTTTTCTAATTCCTAGTCCAGAGTTCGTTCTCTCTCTCTCTCTCTCTTTTTTTTTTTCTTTTTTGTAACAGGAGCTTGCCAGAGCGAAACCAGGTAAAGGACACGGTGTGTTGTAGTGGGAAGCCACCCGAAATCAGACTGAATACCACCCATTCTCCCAAAGAAGGTCCAATCTCCAACTGTACCCTTGGACATGTGATGCAAGATTAAGGTTTGATTTCGGAGACCCAAATAAAGAGATGCAGAGGGTGATTTTGACATTTTCGAATATGTGCTAGAAGGCTTTGACATCTGTGACCTCAATAATTGGAAGGTTTCGCCACGCTGCGAGGGGGGTGGGGGGCCAGCAGGCAGCCCCTGTCAGATACCATGTCAGATTGATAAATGCCTTATTTGGTGCTCTGTCAAAATGCTCATGCTAGCTGGGCGTGATCTCTCGCGCGCATGGAACACGGGCTGCACCATCTGCTCACTTTGGAAATGTAATCTTGAGCCCATACTCCGTGCCCAAGCCAGGCCCGTGACTTGCCCCAACACGGAGAGGACTTGGGGGTTTGGAGAGACGCCAGGCTCCGATCTCGTGAGCGCAAACCTTGGCCTGCTTGAGGACTTCTGAGAATTGCTCTTATCTGGTGTGGTCGGGGTTCTGATAAATCACCAGCGTTGTCCCCACCACACATTCAGGGATTGCTCAAGCTGTGGTTGAGTGCTAATGTTTTTATAATGTGCCGTCTTTGCGACAGATTGGGATCGGAAAGCAGGCTGTTCAATGCCCTTTCTTTCTCTTCAAACAAGGTTCTCTCAGAAATCCTCACTCTCATCCAGCCGGGGTGGTGTCTGTGTGGCAGAGCTGACAGTGACCGCAGCCCGGTACTCCATCAAGCCCCTTGCGCTCGCTGTCAGCCGTGGGGGTCCCCAGCTCCGCGTCAGGGGGAGGGGGGATGAGGGGCTTGATTAATGTGTAAGCCCTTCAAGTACTCTGTCTTTGTGTCTAAGAAGCACCGGGGCATTACGGGGATGATGGGGCGGAATCCTTGACCGTAACTAGTTGAGGACTGCGGTCTGACCGGGGCTGAGGGCGATGGGCCTGGAAAGGCCCTAGGGCTCCGGAGACCCCCAGACCTGGCTCCCTAGGCCAGCTCTGCCATTTCCTTCTGGGCAACTCTGGGACTGTCACCAAATCACTGGGCCTTGTGTTTTCCCTCAGTGAAAAGGATTTTGTTTTTTTGATTTGTGCAATAATGAACATAGTATGATTTTGCCTTTCCTGACGCTTGGCTCTTAACTTAATAAGTGCTGGTTTCCTTAAGTCCAGATGCCTTAAAAGCAGAGGGGTTCTAGTAGAATAGTCATTGTAAAGGAGGTTAGGAGGATAAAGCATCCTACTAGGGCACACAGATTTATCACATGCAGATCATTACGTGGGGACCATTTTCTTCTGACCCTCAAATCTGAACTTAGACAATTATTATTATCATTGTCATTATTATTAGTAGTATTAGGTTGTTATGGGGACAACAGAACACGATGATACCTGTGGGGACAACAGCATGGCTGGAATGACCGAGGACCTGAAATCCTCTTCTTAGGGGCCATCTGCCCACCTTCTGCACTGATGCAGGTGTCTTGGTTTTAGTATTTGTGGCTGAGAGGTACCCCGACTTAACACTTCCAATGCCAGAAACCTTACGATCTTGTCATGTAGCTGAAGACGTCTGTGAAGGACTCGGAACACTTTGAAGGCGGATTGCAGCTGTGGGCAAGCTTTTTCTGTGAGGGTCCAGATAGTGACATGTGGGGCTTCACAGGCCCTCTGGTCTCCGTCACAACCGCTGAGTTCTGCTGCAGGCGCTTGCAAGCTGCTACAGACCATCTCTAAGCTGGTGGGCACCGCGGCCTTCCAATAATACTCCGTTGACCACGTAGGACGGCAGGCTGGATTTGGTCCCCTGGCCACCGTTGACCTCTGGCTAAAATTGTGTGAAATGTAGGAGGTAGGTACACTCTCTGTCCCACCTGCAGCCGTGAGTATAAGAGAAAGGGAGGCAATCACTGTTTTCTCCAGCTCCTTGGCAGTTCGCTTCCCCCCTCAAATGCACGTCTTCTTTCAGACCCAAGTTGTGCTGTGTGCCCGTATTTTTCAGGTGATGAGACTCTGGCTTATTTTGGAAACCAAGAGTTATTAGTATGGTTCATTTTAAACAACCAGACAGAAATTAATTCAAAATACTGTGAAAGGCCTCCTGTGGCTTGGGGATGAGAAGTATTGTGTTCTTATGCTAGAGAGAGGACCATATGGAGAGGGATATATATATATATATATATATTTTTTTTTTTTTTTTTTCTTTTCCAGACTAAGGAACGGTATTTATGTTTGTTTTCATGGCATCTGAAGAGATTTTGTGAAGCCCGAATAAGGTAAGGGTCACTCGGAGCCTTTCCTCCTGAGTGAGACTCTCTTGACTGCTGTCCGCGTCACGCTGTGAGCAGATGTCGGACCGAATCTTTGACCCCAGTCACAGCTGCTGTTGTCCCTACGCGGTCTGCCCTGTGAGGGGACAGAGGCGGCCAGGCTGACTGCGGGACCTGTGGGCCCAGGGCCTCGTGGGTCTGATTTTGATCCCGGGTCTGCACACAGCACGTCCTTCCCTGCTCGCAATCGCCCTGCGTGTTCAGCAGCATCTCAGGGAGAAGGAGTTGATAAGATGAAAGGGAAATGAACGTGTCTTCTTGCATCATCACACAGGTCTGCATGTGGTGGTCCTCAGCGGGCTGCCTTCTGAGACTGGGCCCCTCATTTTCTCTGCAGGCTCCTGTGGCCAGGCCACGGGCCACAGGGATCTGCCGGGTGCGGCTTCCTTGGCTCCCCCTCGCCTCGGCTGGGCTCGACTCAAGAGCCTGTTTTTGCCAGGGCACCACCCTGAGTGATACCCTGTGCTCTGTTTGGACGGCTGTCCACTTGCGGGGGTGGGGGGGCTACCACTGCCTCGTTAGGATGCGTGCTCCCTGCAGAAGGAGCTTCGTGGAGGGTGCTGACTTTCCCGTGGTAGCCCCTTCAACGGGGTCCATGGAACAACGTTCTGGCATGCTGAGGGGCGGCGGCTCTTTTCGCGAGAACAACACAATCTCTATCTCCTCGCAGTACATGCTGTTTTGGACTGAGCCTGGTCTGTGGGTCTTTGTTCCAGGCAGAGTCTTTCTCTGAAGTAGTCCCAGCCCTCTTTGCAACTTCTGTGCTCAGACTCTCCCTTCCTCCCCACTCTTCAGAGCATCCAGTGGTTGTCCGAACCCCGCTCACACCATAGGTCCCCCGCATGACATACCCTGCGTTGGAAACACACGGACGCACACAGAGATGGGGCGGGCGTGGCGGCCACCTCCTAGGCCCCACCAGAGAGCAGCAGACCTCCAAGCCCTCTGAGCGTGATTCCTGCCAGCACGTAGTAAAGAAGGTTCGAGAAACAGTCTCACCTGGGGCCTCTCCGAGGCTGGGGTTCCTTGGGTGTTTTTCCTTGACTGTCTTGCTGTCTTTCATCATTGCCAGCATGCTTTGGAAACAGGAAACTGAAAGGACGGGTGTGCGTGTCAGGGAAGTCGTGAGGCACGCGCTCTAGCGTGTTGACCTCACAGTTCCCGACGCGGAGCCAGATGAAGGCAGCGCACAGCTTCCTGGACAGGCCGGTGCTGCCGGGCACACGACCTGCCGCAGGAAACGCAGGCATCAGCCTCGGGCCTTTGGTCGGGGATGTTGGAGCAGCATTGAGCATGTGCTCTGGAGCACGCTGTGTAGACAGAAGCCACTGTGTAGACGGAAGCTCTGAGCCCTGCGGGGAGGCTGCTTCTGGGGCAGCAGGGCTCCAGGTGCCAGTCGCTCCTGTGGCATCACGAGCTTGGGCAAGCCAAACACTCTGACCCTCCGTTTTCTCGTCTGCACCAAGGCTGTTACTATAAATACTGTTTTCTCTAAGTTACCTCCCAGAGCCGTTTTTAGGATTAGATACAAGAGCGCTTCATCATCTGGAAAGTGCTTTCCGAGCGCAAGGCATTCTTATTACTGGTGACAGAGGGGATGGGTCTTAGGGGCTCCACGCATTTCTCACCGACTGTGCAGACACAGAGCAGAAGATAGTGATGAAAAAGTCTCTGCTCTGTTCCTGAGAAGCCCGGAGTCTCCCATCCGCGCGGGAACACTGAACAAATGCACAAAGGGCCGACTGTAGTTGCTTCGTGAATTCTGGATCCTCTTCTGCCTGTGTTGCACCCGCCGTGGGAGGAAAGAGGCAAAAGAGCCCTGGGCACGGGAACTGGGTGTTGAAGTCAGATGAGTTTCAGGCCAAATACAGCATTCTCCATGTAGAGGCCAGGTGGCCTTGGGAATCCAACGCACCCTGCGGAGCCTGGCTTTGCTCAAAGGTCAGAGAAGAGTGAAGAGTCAAAGATCACTCTGGCAACATCCTTGTCAGGAAGGAGATGACAACATGAAAGCCTAATGATTTCCTAGACTACAGGAGGCATGATCACGCATGTCCACCATGGGGCAGGGGTAGGTAAGAATAAAACCCCCCCACAGAGGTGAGTACATCCAAGCTGTGATTTGACGTATGTGTATAAGTTCACCAAGTGCCAGACTGAGCATTAGGATGTGCATGGCGGGTGTAGGGCCCATGATGAGTGGGGCATGGGGAAGGGGGCACACGGAAGACTCCCCAAGGCCAGGTTACGGGTCCCTCACTCTGAGGTCCCGAATCCCTTTGACTCGACTCTCCTGGCATTCTTGCAGAAAGAGGTCTGACCATTTGGGGTGCTTTTATATCAGTTTTATGTTAAGTGTGTATTTTAACTCCCCTTTTCCGCTCTTTGAGCTTCCTACCCGGAGGAACTTTTCAAGGGGACAGAAATGACCAGTGTTTAAATTCTGGCTTCGATGGGTCCTTAGTACTTTGAAAGGAAATGTGGTTTTTGTGAGAAATAGCAACTGAAGATGAGCCAGGCCCGGTCTGGAAAGAGGAGTCCAGCCCAGGTGCTGTGCTTGAGTGTGAGGGCTGTGAAGGGGGAGAAAGAGTAGTGGTGTGTGAGTGCACGTGTGTGTGTGTGAGTGTGTATGATGTGTGAGTGCTGGTGTGAATGTGCACACGTGTGAATGTGCATGAGTGTGCATGTGAATGCGTGTGTGTGTGCATGCATGTGTGCATGGCATGCATGTGCTGGGGCATGTGAGTGTGTGTGCTTGTGCATGCGTGCATGGGTGTGTGTGCTCTGGGCTTCTGTGCATGCATGCGTGTGTGCCATGGGGATGTGAGTGTGTATGTGTCTGGGTGCGTGTGTGTGCCTGCGTGTGTGTGTGAGTGTGTGTGCTTGTGCATGCGTGCATGGGTGTGTGTGCTGTGGGCATGTGTGCATGCTTGTGTGCATGCACATGGGGGTGTGCTCTCTGTGCACGTGCATGAGTGTGTTGTGGGCATGTGAGTGCGTGTGCATGTGTGTATGTGCTGTGGGTGTGCATGCGTGTGTGCGTGTGTGTGTGGAGGGGTGCTGTGGGCACGTGTGAGTGTCGAAGGCAGGAGGAGCCCGGGGCAGGGAGGCAGGTCCCAGCCCTGGGAGTGTGCTGACTGATGCTCCCGGCGCAGAGGCCCTGCCGGAGGTGCTGTTGGTGCTGCTTCCTGGGGGCATCTTGCGCAGCCCTGCAGAGACCGGTGCGGCGGCCAGCCTGCAGGAGGGCTTTGCTGGACTCATCTGCTCTGGGCTGGCGCAGGCGCCCCTGCCGCGTCCTTAGGGGACAGATCCCATTAGCTCTGATGAACTCTCCAAGCCAATGTTGGAAAAATGATGCTTTCAGTATTTGGAATGAGGCTAGAACACATGCCCATCCTTCTTCCCCCATTGCGCTGTGGGGGAGGCGGGGTTGGGGGAGCGGGGACGGGAGGTGCAGGTGTGCTCTTGGGGAGCTGCCAGGTCAGATGGGTGCCAGAGGCTTTGCATGAACATTTGTTAGGCTGGAGAAAGTTCTTCACAGAAACAGCCAAACAGACACTTGAGTGTTAGTCACTTCATAGTAAAATCCAAAGGGGTGAGCAGAAATTACCAAGTTTTTTTCCCACTGGGGAAGAAGTTAATATTATTTAGGTGAAATGTGAAATAGCCTCATTTGGGCTCTTTTGTCAGGGGTCAGGGAGGCTGGATGCCAGCACATACTCCCAGGAGATTGGTTTCCTAGAGTCACGTTGACCTGATCCGATGGCTGTTTATTGAGAGAGAAATCTATTATTGTGCGTGTTGTAGACAACAACCAGAGAAGCAGTGAGGTTGGAGGGAGGAAGGATTTTGGGTACATGTGTGCTGATCCTTCCATGTGCCAGAGCCCACCTGCCTACTGACTCAGAGCCAGCCTCCTACCACCATGCCCAGCCCTGCAGAGTCTCCTTATTTCCATATCACAGATGCGGAAATGAAGATTCAGAGAGGGGAAGGAACTTGCCTGAGGTCAGACGTGATGGAAAATTCAGGTTTGGGACAGATGTCCAGCTAGCTCCAAGTCTTATACTTTCCCCAGTGCATAACATTGCCTCATTGAAAACCAATATTTAGCGAGGCGTGTGTGTGCATTTCCCAGTGTTCCTCCCACACCCTCCCATGAATGCCTCCAGAAAATGGAAGAGCAAGATCTCATTCATTCTTCGAAATGATGCATTCCATACAGGTAGTTGAAGATTTACCTTTATAGAATCTAGTCATCAAACAAGAAGACGACCCTAATATCACTTTTTGGGAATGGTTTATATCCGCCCACACATCTGTGCCCTCATTCATTCATTCATTCATTCATTCATTTTGTATTCCTTTACAGACATGCTAGTTATGTACAGTGAATGTATACAATGAAGGAAGAAATGAGAAAGCAAAGTCATAAAGCAAAGGGATTAGTGCTATGGTGCTAAAATGTAGTATAGAGTTTTCTCGACAGAAACATTATTTTGCTGGGCTCTGATGTCTACTGTCACATACTTGTGCTTGCTGTGGTTTTAGATAATTGGTGGTCGCACCTCTTATTTGTCATTTTCCAGTTCATTCCTTTGCACTCCTTAGGACCTCTCTTTGCCCATCTTTGAAATGAGGTGGTTGACCTGACTCTGACCCGGACAGCACACTCTCAAGGCAAAGGATTTTTCAGTTTTATCGCTCTTCCGCAGTGCCCTGCATTAGGATGCTGCTGAGGGCAGATTACCAGTGGGTATTAAAAAAACACATGTACTAGGAATTACACAGATATTTCTTGCACAGATTGATAAACCTATTTTAAGCTGACCCATACTGAAGTCAAACTGCAGACACTCAGCTACCATCTTTGTTCTTGATTCCATATAGTTTGGCCTAGAATCATTTCACACTAGAAAGTGAGCCATACCAGGGACCAGTTATCCTTGTTAATACCATGTAGACAAGTTCTACGGCAGAGTTCTGCTCTAGCAATCCAAGTAAAATGACATAAGAGAACATTATTTTTAGCTAGCATGGATTGTGAGAAGATCTTCCCCAAAGGAGCAGAAAGTCTCTTTAAATTTTTGGGATACAATCATTCACTTGCTAGAACCCGTGGGTCAGATGTAGGTTGGGCCAGAATCCATTTTATTTCTTCTGTGCCTTGCTGTACATCACACACAGGTTTAAATCACAGAAGTCACATACAGATAAGAGTTTTAACATTTTGGCAAAGAGAATTGCTATTCTGGATGGAGTTGTGGAGAGGTTGTGTTTTCTTCTAATACAGAAGATTTATCATTTAATTTGAGTTACAGGGTGAGAAAGGCCAGAATTGCACAATAGAAGGGAATCCTTATTACAGAAGACATCATTTCAAGCACAGAAGTGTAAAGTACTACCTTCTTAGAAGTGAAGATACACCGAATAGTCGATATCATCTGCCAATGCCATTAGCTGCCCTTTTTTTTCAACAAAGAGAAAAACACCTGGTTTCAAAGAAGAGTAACACCCATAAACCAAAGCATTCATAACTTGTGAAATCATATCTAAAGGCTACACTTTACTAATTACCTAAAGTCAGAGATTCCAGATGAATTTATTAAGGCTTTTACTTTTCAATTGTGTATAAAGATTAAAAGAAAAACATACATTTTAAAGGAAGTTACTGGAGCATCTTTGCTTGACTTGGAAAGGCAATAGTCCAATAATACTTCTGTGACTCTTAGCCCCTCACCCAACTTCCAGCCTATTTATAAAAGAAGATAGAAAAATCTTAGTAGTGAAAATTTCTAGAAAGAAAACACAAAAGGGGATACATATGTCTCTTGGTGTTTGGAGGGCAGAGACTAAAGTGTCAGAAGCAAGCACTGGTTTCTAGACTAGAAACGTCTAGAAGAATAAAGCTAGCTGGCTCTGCCCTGATGGCAGAGCAGAGCAGTTGGAAGGCTTGCATGAGAGCACACTGATTTTTCAGGATTTGGTAGACAAATTTATGAAGTATTTTCCTTGGACCAGAATGATTCCCCCAGAAATTAGCCAGACTTGGGACATTCTGAACATTCTCCACTCCAAAGATCTGTCCACCAGGGCAAATTGACTGGTTTACCCCAAACAGGCTCTAAGGAAGAGTTGGAGGGGGTCAGATGAAGAATGCGTTGCCTGTATGGGGTAAAGTTTATGTGGAAGATCACTGAGCATCCCCAGAACCCACAGCTGTGCTCCCTGGGAGGAGCCAACATCGGGGGATCTGGCTCATAGAAGGAACCCATGACAGATGCAGTGGGAGAAGTCAGGGCTCTACTGTATGTACTTCTCCCATAATCCTGTATAACTGTATTATATGTATAATATATATAAGGGAATTCTCTCTCTCTCCTTGTTGTGTTCCTTCTGCTAACTTTACATCTGTTGAAAAAGTAGAAGTCATCTTACCTCTGAAATTTTGATACTTATGTCTTTTTATAATAAAAATAGTAAATATGTTTCTTAATTGGTTAATCTGACCCGAATTTATGAATTATAATGGTGAGAAAAAAAAACACAAAACTTTCTTTATCTAGAGCCTACTGTGCGCCCGGCACATGGTATTTTCTCCTCTTTCCCTCATGTCAGTGCTTCAGGGAGGACCCTCATCCCTATTCACCTACGATAAAGCTGAGATAACCAGAGAGATACAGGGGTTTTCCTATGATTACAAAGGGGAAGAGTGAAGCTGCCATTTCAGTGTTTCTTTTTTTGTAGTGTGATTTTTTTAAATAATTTTTTTTATTATGTTCTGTGTTTCTTACTTCAAAACTCCATGCTCTATACCATGTGTTGCAAATTATAAGCCAAAATGGACCCCTAACCAATGTCTGGCACAAGGTGTCACCATATATTTATCAAATGAATGAATAAATACAAGAATGAATGAATTTTTGTCAGGTGAGCTATGCTCTCTAATTGCTTATTGGAATAAATGATGTTACTGTTAGAGTGAATGATGAAATGTCATCAGCATCAGCTAAGAGAACCAAAGAAACAGAACACAATCTCACATCGGCGAGCTGGATGGGCGGAGATCTGAGACCCAGAGGAGGAAGGAAGTCGGAACGTCCCACCGAAGTAGAAACCATTTTCATCACTTCTTTTCTGATCTGTGCCCAGGTGTCAGGTAATTAATGGTCTCCCAGCAGCCATCCAGGTGCCCCCAGAGGCACACTATTTAAGGGGACCTCACATCAAATTCTTTTGTGGGAGGAAGAAAGAAATCTCCCTCGTTGGTTTTGTTTTTGATTCCCCCCCCCAACTCTCTTTTCTTTCTTGATTCAACATTATTTTGTGTAACCAAAGGCCATGTGCTGGGCTCAGGCTGCTGAGATGGAAAAGTCAAGATCTCCACCCCCAGAAGCTCACGCAGACAGAGCAAAGAAATCCTAAGTGCATATTCCAGGCTTTTGCATATTGGCACTTCTCAAGGCAGAGCCCAGGGGGACACGCCGCCTTTGCCTTTGTGTTAGCGACACTCCCCCCCTGGCCCGCTCTTTCTTTGTTTTTGGCTCCAAGTAGATGCACGTCTGTGTGTGTGTTTTAAAGTGCAGTGAACTGCACAGTGAAGTTCTTTTTTCTCTGCTGATTTTGTAGGTGTAATATCTCAGCCCACACAGCCCACCTGCTCCAATCTCTGTTTCATCTTTAACAACTGGTGTTTTTAACAGTGGTGCTGACTCTGGATTAGTTACTGAAGCATGAAGCAACCAGATAGATAGAGAGATGTGAGTCACCGGGCCTGTCGAGGGGAGCTCAGAGCCAGCTGTCCAAGTGGCGGCTCTAGGCCCCCTGCCCCGGAGAAGAGAGAAGGCTGTGGACTCCGGTGTGGCTGCTAGTGGGAGACAAGTAAACGCAGGACGATGGTGGGACCAGGGGTGCTCGAGGAAGGGGTATTATGAGGGGAAAACCTCTGCGTGCAGTTGTGTGGTTAACATTTCGTTTTTACTTTGTGCATGTTTTCACGGGAAATTTCACATTTTTTTTTTCCCCCACAAGAGAAGTGACCTGATGGGACAACGACGCATTCCCTGGCTTCTGTGGGACCCCCAAGGACACTGTGGGCAGCTCTGAGGCCCGAGGGGGGCTCTCGTGAGCCCGGCAGGTGGGAGCTGATTGATAGCTTAGTATTTTACCCAGATAAAATCTTGTGAGAATCCCCATGCGAGGGCCATGCTGTAGACTGCAGAGGCCCATGTAGACTGCCATGGCCACCACCTGCCCTGTGGGAGGGAGGAGCCGGTCCCGGTCAGCTGCCATGCCCCCCCGCCCCCCGCACGTCACAGAGCCCTCATCTCTTCCTCTCCGGATTCATGTCACAGGCTAGTAGACAGCCAAACGTGCTGTGCTAACATCGGTGTTGTTTAGAGAGATTGTGTCTCCTTCTCTCTGTGGACTTAATGGTAAATTCGCATTAACCCGGCCATTAAAACCCCGCATACTCACGTGACACCTTCTGCCATGGTAACCTGCACTATTCTAGAGAGTCCCCCTCTGTCATCCAGGGTCCTGGAGTGAAACCAGTGATGATGGAGAGCCAGTCCCCACAGAGGCAGGACGGACAATCATGGGAAGGACGCATGCACGTCGGTAATGTAAGCCGATCCTGACTGACGCCATCACCTCGTCAGCCTGGGCCCACCCCCCACGATAGCTTCGGAAATACCGGTCACTTGTGTTCTTGCCTCTCTTGCAACCAAGCGTGGGCACGCCATTCAGCCCAGTCACATCCAGTGGGGTTTCCTACCATGGTCTTCCCACAACAGTCTTCACTGCGGTCTGCTGGTGCTGCCTCCCGCTAACGGTTAGATGATTCTGCAAAGCTCAGTCATGTCGTCTGCAATCAAAGTTCCCTGTTCCCCAGGTTAGTTCAGGAATACATTTTAGGATGTTTTAGATATTTCAAATATTTAGAGCAGCAGTTGGTAAACTATGGTCACAGCGCCTTATCTTCGTAAATAAGGTTTCATGAGAATGCGGCTCGCCCATTCCTTCACTTAGTGACTATGGCCGATTTCATGTAGTTGTGACGGCCCACAAAGCCAAAAGTATTTACTACCTCCCCCTTCACAGAAAATACTTGCTAGAAGAATAGTTAAAATCTTCCAAATATGTTGACCTTCTTGGCCAGAATTTCAGGAAGCATTAAATCCAGAGGGTCCAAGGTTATGTCTCCAGAACAGCGGTTAAAATGAAGCTACTCTATGTGCTAAGAAAAGTGCTGTCTCCAGGCCCTAGCAGCAGCTAGGTTACTTTGAATCTGGAAGGTCAGTACCTGCACCCTTCATCCCAAGGCCTGAGTTTCAGTGTGTCTTTAATCCCTTTCTAGCTGGGACCAGGATCACACTGACCTCTTGTGTGAGATGCAGAGCTTGAAAGCTCTGGACGATTCCTTTTGCCTGGGACCCTCTTTTCCTCCTTTTTGCCTGACTCCATCAGGTCTGGCTCAGGGGTCACACCCCAGGGAGGATCCCCTGAGTCCCAGATAAAGCGAGGTCTCCTGCTTACTCCTCATTCACATCCTTCATGTCCCTGTGGGTCACCCTGTGTCACTGGTAACTTCTCCCTTCCTGGCTTAGCTTCTGGCTCCACAAAACCAGAACCTGTCTGCCACCTGAGGACCTGGCTCAGGGCCTAATACAGAAAAGGTGCCAGCAAGTACTTTGGCACTGGTGAACATCAGCTAGAGTCCTAAAGGCTGGGGCTACAAAATGCAGCTCATTATGAAGTCTCAGGAATGCTAGTCCACAAAACTCAGGGACATGAGTATGTAATTTACTTAATTTCTCTATAACCAGACTCAAGCTTATGAGCAACGGCATTTATGGACTCCGTCGCTGCTTATAAGGGGACACTTAACTCATCAACCCAGAACCCCAGACCCCAGTGCAGAACTCAATTCCTTCCCCTTTGGAAACTATTCAAACTGTAGATCCTTGCTTTCTTCTTTTTTTTTTTTCCTTTAAGAGGCTCTGGATGAGGGCTGATGACCAAGCTCATGGGCGGCCTGGCTGCGCTTAGGTAATCTTACACACTAGCTTCTGTTTTTCTGTAGAGTTGGCTGGCTCCTCATTACACTGTCCCCACTCTCACCCTTGAATATGCCATGATCCCTAGGTTGTGCAGCTTTCTTCTAGGGACCATTGCTTCTTGAGACTACAGGCCAGCTCTCAGGCACTACTAGGCAGATGGTGGGTGTGAGTGGATGTCCTAAATGGCATGATTTGTGTGGGTTCTGAGAGGCTGCTGTCAATCACATTGTCTGACTCTGTTATTTATGTGTCACGGTGGGTGAAGATGGGACTTTCTATGAGAAGAGAAGTCTCTTGGGGAACACCTTGGAAAGCTATCCAGTGCCCTTCCGTTGTGGCATTTCCAAGTTATCTAGGGATTCCATTTGTCCTGCTCTTATGGCCCCTCCAGGCCTTGGACAGAGGGGGCAGGTTAGGGACGTGAGTGCTGTCAGAGACTCATGGCCTTTCAGCTGTGTATTCTCTGCTCTTCCTTGCTCCCACTGGGAGGTTGGCTGTTGAGCAACCTCTCCAGAGGTGGCACAGCTTCCTATCATACCAGCCTGCGCTGTTATAGAGAATAGCCCGGTGTGGACCTATGCCCATGTCCCCAGGTTGTGATTATACCCTAGAGGAAGAATTTTCTCTTTCAGGCACCTGGCTCTTAGTATAACGGGGTTAGACTTTTGCAGTTATGGTCTCTACAATGAGATCCAAGAGCCCGTTCTGGAATATTGATGTGCAATGACATTCCTGTTGTAATAATCCCAGTCCTCCCTGAGGCATAGTAGGTATTAATTTATAGGAAGAAGAGGGTCCAGACCCTGTCCTCTAAAATCCTACAGACTAGTGGAGGTAAGAGATCCATTAACAGATACCTCCAACATCAGGAGGAACCTCTAATGAAGAGATGTGTGCATTGCATCCTATGATTGAGGCAGAGAGGCCTCTACACCTGCCCTACCTCAAAGTCATATATGATTTTCTTCTACTCTATTTGGACACCCATATTTCCTTAGCATCCCTCAATTGCAATACTTTCTCCCCAGTTTATTACTACTTTGGAAGACAGATACTTGTGAAGTGCTTCTGCTTGGCCAAGATTGGTGCTGAGTAAAATGGAAGGTGAACCTAACCTCAAAAAGGGGCCGCAAAAAAACAAGGGTGAAGACACAGCAGGAAGAAAGGGTCTCAACAGCTGAGGGTTCATTTCCAAGTGAACGGGACAAATACTCACCCATGGAACACCCAGGGATAGAGTAGCTAACTAAGAGAGGGAGTTCTCTGGACATCCCTGTGGAGGGAGACCTGTTGTTTCCAAACACTGACCTTATTCTGCCAAAACAGCACTGACCCACTCTTCACTGGGAGCTGGGGTCCCCAAGATGCATCCCTAGATTGAGCCAAGAGCTCGCTCCTGGCTTCTTTGTTACTGTTCACCTGAGCTGGATCCTTCTCCCCACAGCACCTACTGCTTGCTAACTGGTATCCATCCCACTGTGGGCTTCGAGGCTTTGGTGAGTTCGGTTTTGTTTTCCTGTCTTTTCCTCCCAGGCCATGAAAGGTCTCCTTCCTGAGCTTGATGCTGCTTGACCGCCTACCTGTGCTTGGCTCCTCCTGGCTCAGCTTTTGGACCCACAGCCATGAATCTGTCTCTAAACAGAATCAGTAGCTAAAACCCAGCCTCCCAGGTCTGTCTGTGCTTGAAGCCCAGGAAGGAATGTTCTGAAGCCAGGATGGTGTTGACGAGTGGGGTTTGGCCTGGAAGAAAGAACACCGACCTGCGGGTCATCAAGTTATTGGCACCTCCTCTGCTCTTCAGTTGCTTCGGAAGGGAAGTCTCAGCACGAGGCCACGTTGTCTACCTTCTCAGGGTGCCCTAGGCTCAGACACACGTATGTGGCACTGTCCCTCAGGGGCCCCGCAATGGAGTCGTCAACACAGACTGTGACTACTGAGAAGGGTGTTGAATCAAACACCTTCCTTCCCCCTCCCTCGATGCAGAGTGGGAGATTGGAACATTCGCAGGGGTCCATTCTGCAGGTGGAAAAGCGTAGGTGAAGGCGGATGAGACCACCTATCCAGGACAAAAAGCCATGCTGATTTCAAACCGGGCCTCATGTTATCACTTGAGAAACATTAAAAATGCTGCCTCTAGGGTCCCCACCCCATAGACCCTGATCTAATTGGTCTGGGGTGCTACTGGGGTACTGAGCATTTGAAAAGTTGCCCAGGTGATTCTCATGGGCAGTCAGAGCCGAGAACCCCTGGGTCAGGTAGTGGTCAACCGAGAAATTAAGCACAGGTGTCCCACCCCAAGGTCCAGCATGAGCAGTTACTTTTGAAGAAGAGGGACCTGGATTTTTTGCGTGTCACAGCGGCATGGAAAGCTGGGGCGAGTCATAAGGCCCTGTGCCCACCCCTCGGTAACTCTCAACATTTTGTCTATGGTTTTTAACCATGATTTTTTTAGCTCCCTCCACTGCTCAACCATCATTCTTTAACTGCCAACTCTGGGGAGTAATAATCCACAGTTTCAATAGCCTCTGGAGAAATTGCAGGGCTTTTGCCACAGGGCAGAAAACTCAGGAGTTTGTCAACAAAAGAAAAATAAAAAGCAAGCTTTCAGCTACCAAACAGAAAACTTTCACAGATTCCTAAGGTCATTCTGGCAGAACTTTTATTTCAATCCCCGACACCCTACGGTTGGTGTGAGAACAGAGTCCGTAATAAACACACACTAGCCAGACTGGTCAGCCGTCACTCGCGGGCCCACAGCTCTCCTCGCTTCGGCCCCACAGTCTGGCAGACGCCAACAGGACGCATAAACAAGCCCTTGAAGACGCAGCAGCCAGCCCTTTATGATCGGAGCTGCTGTTAACCCTTCCCAGCAGGACCTCAATGTGCTAGGAGAGGTAAAAAAAAATTTTTTTCAAAAACCCCAAAAAACAGTAATGGGTGATGATCAAGATGTAGCTCATGAAGTCAGATAGAAGGTTTTTCTAGAAGGATTTAATCCTCTCAAAGGAGTAATACTGGGTGAGAGCTACAGGCTTCCTTTGCAATCAGATCTGCCTGTGATTTGTCAAACATCGTGGCAACTTGGCAACTTTTTAAGAATTTTTTGCAGTTTTTTCCACCTTCTCTGTTGGTTAGAAATACAAGTCTGTCTCCTGGGTGACATTAAGGTGTTTCTAAAACATCACGAGCTGCAATGACTTCATTTTATCACATCTTTTCTTTTTTTCTTTTGAAAGGCGCGTGTATACAGCAGATTCTGTCCGTATGAAATTTGCGTGAACGTATCTGGATTTAGTTGTGCCACGATGGCTACCACGCTCTTACCCCCACGTAACTTAATTGTGATAATAATATCAGACTATTTCCTCACTGAGAGTTTACTGTGTCTTTCTTTATAATATGTTCCCCAGTTTCCCCCCACACATCAGGGTGAATTCCTTCCTCTTCTGTATTCTGAGGGCTGTTTGTTCTCATCCCGAGGCGAGCATTTCCTGTCTTGCATTCTTATGGTCTACATTTTACATTTTTGTGGGTCTGCCAGTTTGTGAGTTCCTTGAAGGCACATGCTCTGGCTTTTAAAACACTTCACCCAGATAATCCCGATGATCAGGAAAGGCTTGTTGTGCTGAGCTGGGTGGCTGAATTCCTTCCACCCTTTCTAGGGCACGGCTGATGCCGGCCACACTTTCCTGGAGGCTCTCCGAGGATGCTTCCTTGCAACAGGGTGAAGGTCATGCTCTGTGACAGGGAGCCCCATGTTGCCCGGCACCTGGGGTGTTAGTTTCCTGGGGCTGCCCTAACAAAGCACCCCAGAACCTCACTGTTCTGGAGGCGGCAGGTCTGATTGGGGCTCAGACAGGGGGCGTTCGCTAGGCTGGTGCAGAAGCCTCCCTTCCAGTCTCTCGCCTTGGTTCCCAGGGGCTGTCTTCATGTCCACATGGCGTTCTCACTGAGTCCTGTCTGTCTCCAAACTTCCCCGTTATAAGGACCCCAGTTGTACTGGATTAGAGCCCACGCTAATGACCTTGGGTTACGTGATGACCTCTGGAAAGACCCTATCCTCGAAGAAGGTCACATTCTGAGAGACAGGGGTTAGGACACAATTCAACCTGTAATGCCTGTCTTCCGTCCTGTCGGCGACCACTCCCTGCTGGTCATTGCTGCTGGGCAGAACCACAGTTTCCGTGCCTACTTGCTCTCCTGTGGCTGTGTATACTGCCTGGGATGTTCAGCTTTTCTTAAGGTGAGCTCAAGACTCCATTCCAGGTCTCCCGCCATGGGAGGCCCTCCAGGCCCTCCCGTCCCCATGCAGGCAGCGTGAAACCCTCTTGCCTAGTTCGGCCATTGTCCCTCGTATTGCTGGCCACCAGGCTGTGGACAGTATTAACATCTCTTTAAGCCGTTGCCTGTGAACCCCCCAAGGGTGGGAAAGGGTCTTTCTCTGCTAACTCCAGCACAAAGCACAGTTCCTATCTAATGTTTGTTAGGTGAATACATGACACAGGGATTGTAAATAGGTTTCTTCTCCCTTGTTAATCCCATCAGGGTGATGACAGAAGAGATGTGTAGAGAGCGACTGAGGGTATCTGGGTCCATCTGGAAACCATGCCATGTGCAATTAGCAGCGTCTCCTGTGGGTCCAGCTGGGGTGTTCAGGGCCTTCCTTCGTGTATTTGCCAACTCATTCTGAAGGGTTGCAGGGAATTTAATTTAACTTGAAATATTAGAGAGAAGAAAACAAATTCCTGGGTTTTGAACCGGAACGTAAAGGATTCCTGACAAAGCTATCATGGCTTTTTGGAGAATGACTCCAAAGAAAGAAGAGGAAAGCTTCTAAAGTTCCCAGGTGAGGAGCACCCAGAACAGGGACCAGGCAGTCATTGCATGGGATAGAAATGGATGAATGGATGGAGCCAGCGTTTTGGGAAAGTAAGTGCAGAAAGAATTCCTTGAGGACATAGGATTCCATAACATAGAAGCCAACTCCAAATTACAGTTGGTAGGTTATCAAGCGGTCTACATTTCTACTAACCAGGGCAAGGAAAACATAGTACCATCCCCAAATCCTTCAGTTATTTGTCAGAGCCTTCCAGTGTATAGTTTCCATATGACGGGAAAGAAAATAATACCCCAAAGAGGAAAATACAATTAAATAAAATATAGCTGACAACTCAGTTTCCATATGCAAATGCACATGAACAGTGTATTCATCTGTATGTAATGAGTTTAAGTTTTTGAAAAATGAAGAACTAAATTAGGGCATGTAATGTCTGCCTCAGAATGGAGATATATGAGTTTTAGATGTGGCTCTGAGAACAAGATAAATTTGTGTTAGTCTGTATTTTAATTAGTTGCCATGTAAACACCTTTGCACACAAAGTTGTCCAGTATTTGTTTTATACCCGAAAAAATAGCTGGGCCAATCTAATATCAAATCTAGCCATGTAAGAATAAGAATGAATTAAAGAAACAGCCAGCGCTTCATAGACACATAAAATTCCTGGTTTAGAAACTACTCCACACACAGTTTTTAAACACTTGATGAAAAATAACTTAAACCATTTCAGTGGAGTAACAGAACAGATCCTTCAAGTACCTGCAGTGTTTAATAGGGTTCCCAGAGTTGTCACTGGGGAGAATACCAGAAAGGAGGCTGTTGCTCTAGTCCAGATAGAAGGCCTGAACCAGGTTGGTGACTATTCTTTTGGGATCACAGACCTCCTTTACAGAGCTAAAGAAAGCTATTCCCAAAAATACGCTCAGATAGGAATGTTCACACACATGTACATGCAGGTCACACATACAATCTTGCACACAGTTTCACAGGGTTCGGAGTTGAAATTTAATAATTTGTGTTGAATTCTTTCTGGTTGTTGAATTCTTTCTGGTTGAAATTTTTTTGTGTTGAAATTTAATAATTGAGTTTTCTTGTCTGGTAGCTCTTCAGAGGGAAGCAGGCTATCGTGCAAGGGTATGTCCTGTCAGTGAGTGGCTATGTGTGGGCTGCAACCCCTAGGGGACATGGCCATAGTGTCCCCATGTGGATCAGGTGACCCCACCCTTCTGTCAGGGGCAGTCAGGCAGAATCAATCAAAGAGGATACCCAACACAGATTTCTTTCTTTCTCTGTCAAGATAAGTGACAAAATGATTGCATCATACCTGCTGAGTGCTGGAATTTTCGGAGAAAGCAGTCAGTGCCATGGCAGCTCAAAGACACATATATGCAATTACTCTGGAAAACGAGGACGGAGAGCCCCAGGGAGAGACTCAGACCCAGAGAAAGGAGATAACGATGACAGAGGACACCCATGAAAGGTCATATGGTGGTGTCATCCTAGAGAAAGACAGCTGCATGGACAATAGTGTTCCGTGGGATTCTCCTGATACTGCATGGCGGTTCTCTTTCCTTTACCTTTAATTTAAGTTAGCTTGAGTTTGTATTTATTTCTTTTGGTAAGTATCTCTGAGACAAATATAAATAATATGCAAAATAAAAATTAAAAACACCCAACGTATTGCTTGCTAGAATCTCTGCAAGAAAGAGAAATAGTGTGAGATTCTGACACAGAAGCGACTGTGGAGATTGGGGAACATCTCCCATAACTGTGGCTATGACATCAGACGCTTTGCATATAGAGCATGGCGATGTCAGAGACGGAGCCAGAGCTTAGTGTGAGCTCACCAAGTGCTGCTACTTCTAGACAAACATAAAACCAGATACAATCATAATACCAGATAAAATCACATACACAAATGCAAATGATCTGTGTTTGGTATAGAAATCAAAGGCTTCTTACTGCATTCTTAGATCTAGCCTGTTTTTCTGAGTAGAAAACTGGGAAGAGATATAATGAACACAGAAAACACTGGATCTGGCCAAAACAAAAATTCTACAGAACTAAATAACGAGTATTAATTTTGGAAAGGTAGGAGAACTGACTGTCCTATAAAAGAACAATTCTGCAGGGGAAGGTATTAAGCAGCCAATCTGCATCATGAACCAGATCGAAGAATTGGAGGAACTCAGACCTGGCTTCGCTTCCATTTCTCCCAGCTACTTCACACTAGTATAATCTTGACCTTGCCTAATTTAAACATGACTTCACTTTTATCTGCTCTTACACTGACATGCGAGACCCCAACGAAGCTGCTGATAGTAATAGGTCACATTTCACGCCGCATCTATCACTCAGCATTTGAAATTGTTCTAGGCATAGCAGTCGTTGCTTTACCTAATAGCTGTGGTAGTTATTCACACGTTTTAGCCATTCATTCAAAAAATCGTATCAGCCGTCTCCTGTGTGCCAAATAATTGGCTGGGTACTATAAACACTAGGAAACAGGACCAAGCCCTTGCCCTGAGGAAGCTGATGATGGGATGGGGAACACCAACAAGAATGCACGACTGGGTGGCCATCAGTTGGTCAGCCTGACATGCTGTAAGGACACCAGGCAAGGGAACCTAACCAACCCAGTGTCAGGAGTCTGAAAGGACTTCTGGGACGAAGCTGTTCGTAAGCAAAATCCTAAAGGAAACTAGAATTTCTACAGATGAAAGTTGGGTAGAAGGAAAATAAAATTAATAAATGGTGGCTTTTATTGATGATTTATTATGTCTTAGAGACTCTGCCAAGCTTTTCCAAGCGTCATCTTCCTTGATCCCTGTTGCGGTTCTGGGAGGTGTGTGGTACACAGTGGATGGGGGACGGAAGGAGGGGGTTGGAAGACTTTCCTAATTAGAATCACTCAACAACACAATCAGCTCTTTAGAAATAGCGAGCTCTCATCTTTTGAAGTACTCAAGCAGTGGCTAAATGAACTCAGAGCCAAGCAGATGACTGAGGCATGGAGTCCAGGATCATACTTGGTCAGATGTTTCTAAGGGCCCATCCAACTCTGAAATGTTCTGACACTAAACAAGCATCCTAGAAGATTTATATAGCAGGATATTTATTATGATAATATACTTGGATGATGACTAATATTGTTACAATGTGCTAAGATCTGATTAATCTGAGTAATAATAACATTTTGGCAACAAAATTATAATGCAGAATTTCTAAACATTTGTTATATCACCAAGAAATTCCAATCTCCTGAGGACAGAGGGTTGTAATGATTTTGACCCATGGAGCCCATATGGTTATAATGAGTTCATATTCATTATGTGTATATTCAGGAAAATATGTTTATTGACTGATAGTACATTCATTGGGATTTTAATAGTAGCTATAATAACAGCAATGTTGTCCTTAATGGCGGTCTCCCAAACCTGTCACAACAGAAAGATTTTCATGTTCCTCTTCCCCTTACCACACACTAACTAAAAATTAAACTGAATTCGAGTCAAATTTCCCATATTTAAAAGCCAAGAAATTAACAGATATATAAAATGATTAAGGAATTTACATGTATTTATTATAGAAAATATAAATATAGGATACTTAGTTGCAGGTTATATTTAAAGGCAAGGGCCTCGATTTGCTCTGTCAAGCTGCCGTATTCTTTGTTTTAACCTGAGAGAATGTGCCTCAGTGATTTAAAATCTCTGCCTCCGGGGGTTTGAGGAGGCTCCTACAGAGCTGTGGGAGTTAAAGTGTTTG